TGAGATCCTTTTTCTTTATTATCTTTGAACTGCCATAACTTCTTGGGAAAGATAGTAGAGTGGTTTCTTGTTGCCTTTCTCATGGTTTCTGTTATGGCCCGGTTTCCTTGTACCACGGTGATAGTCCAGGGTAGAACCAATAAAGAAGAACGCGAACACAGGTATGGAATAACACAGATATATTACAAACAGAAATATATACAGAGAAGTAGAAGTGTTAGTATGAATAATCAGGTTTAGTAGAGAGAACAATGTAGTCTCGACCAGTATCACTATTCCAATGTCTTGTAGTAATTGTCTGTTTCGGACTGCCTCTGACTCGACTCGACTTGAACTACTGACGATATTCAGTCACCCCCCCCACGAGGGCGTCATGTGGCACAAGGCCGGTTTCACGTGGGATCTCTGAGCCCGTGGGCTCGGCCAAAAATATGCCCATTGAACCCGTATAAACGGGTTCAGAGTCGGTTTACCTCCCCGAACCAGACTCTGCCCCTCGGCGTAACCTCGTTCGGGTTCCTCCCCGCCCGAAGGCAGAGAGTTCAACCGAAAAGTCGGTTCAGAAGTGAACGAGTGACGATATTCAGTCACCACCCCCACGAGGACGTCATGTGGCACAAGGCCTATTTAACGTGGGATCTCCGAGCCCGTGGGCTCAACAAAAAATCGGGTTCAGGGTCGGTTTATCTCCCCGAAAGAGAGTCCACCCGAAGGCAGAGAGTTCAACGGAACAGTCGGTTCAGAAGTGAAGTACTGACTCCTTGCCTACTCCTGAGGCGCAGTATTTATTAAGTATGGAATAGTCCATTATTATTATTATTATTATTATTATGAGTAAGATTCCATAACAGTTTCGAATTCAAAGTTTTCTTTCCCCCACATTGGTTGCCTTTTTTTTAATGCTATGTCCCTTTAGAACGTAGGCGATCATGTCTCATTAAAAATTTATTTTCTTTATTATCTGTGAATTGACATGGCTTCTTGGGAAAAAGAGTAGAATCATTTCTCCACGGTTTCGATTTCAGAATATTAATTCTCCTAGACTGGCTGCTATTTGAGATTAGAGACCCCTGTATATCCTGTTATTTAACCCGTAGCTGGAGGAGATGGATAAGAGATATATGCTTTTCCAAGGAACGTTAATCCGAAAATGATCGCAGTAGGCGAGCATGCATCTCCTTTCTACTACCTGCACATTATCACGTCCATTGAACCTTTTATTCTAATTATTATTTATTGAAAATTTATAGGTTTATCTCAGTTTTTACATCCCGGATATTTATTGAACAAGGTAAAATGTCGAGACAGGAAGTGTAGGACGGAGTTATGCCATGAGTCCTGTTACCCTTTATAGTGCCATTGGGACATCATATATACAGCAAGCCGTATAGTTTTGAATTGAAATCTTCCCTTCTTCTGTTTGAGAGAGAGAGAGAGAGAGAGAGAGTGAGAGAGTGAGATACAGAGAGAGTGAGAGAGTGAGATACAGAGAGAGAGACAGTGTGAGATACAGAGAGAGAGACAGAGATACAGAGAGAGAGAGAGAGAGTCAGAGTGAGATACAGAGAGAGAGAGACAGAGTGAGATACAGAGAGAGAGAGACAGAGATACAGAGAGAGAGAGTCAGAGTGAGATACAGAGAGAGTGAGAGACAGAGTGAGAGACAGAGTGAGAGAGACAGAGTGAGATACAGAGAGAGACAGAGATACAGAGAGAGAGAGTCAGAGTGAGATACAGAAAGAGAGAGACAGAGTGAGATACAGAGAGAGAGAGTGAGAGACAGAGTGAGATACAGAGTGAGAGAGACAGAGGAGATACAGAGAGAGACAGAGATACAGAGAGAGAGAGTCAGAGTGAGATACAGAAAGAGAGAGACAGAAGATACAGAGAGAGAGAGAGAGAGAGAGATACAGAGAGAGAGAGAGACAGAGTGAGATACAGACAGAGAGAGATATAGAGATAGTCCTGTCAGGCTATTGGTGATGAGGTGTAGATGGAATGGAATTCGTGTGAAAGTGAACGCAACGTACTTGGCTGTAGTTCGAAATCGGCTCGTCGGTTTCTCTTTCCGAATGGCTAATCTTCCCACTACCCACACATCTTCGAATCAGTATATGTTACACTGTTACATTAATCTTTCAAGCTTGTTTACCTCTAAAATATTTGTCGCTATTCAAAACTGATCACTAGCGCCGGTGAGAAACAGATTTAAAACGTTTTGTTTTCATTTGGATATCATGAAAATAATTTCTATAACCTATCTTCTATCTATATATAAAATTATACCACTTCCGTTAGTCCCCCCGCCCTTCAGCCCCTCACATCCCCTAAAATAACTACACTTTGACCCATCGAAACCAAATATGGGGGAGAGGCGCAAACAGGTAAGTGGGTACAAAATACAGTTGGTTTTACTTTACTTAGTAAAATAAATTTTCATTAATTTTTGGGAAAAATTAAGTTTTATTATTTAACACAAAATACTCCCACTATTTAAAAAAAACAATTTAAAGATTAAAATAACAGATACTTATTTAATATAAATGCAATATTTGTTTTGTTTTGTTTTTTTACATATCGTTTCTTTAAATTCGTATATATACAAGAATCCAGTTTCCATTTCACCTTTGCTTGCGAAAATTATAAACTAATCACAAGGCTTGAAAAAGTTAAAATTTGACTTAAGAAAGAAATATTTACGCATGGCCAATTTTATGTTGCATGCTTAAGAGTAAGAAATCTTAAAAATTTATCCCTAGCTGTTAAATAAGGAAAAGATGAAAAAAATAATATTCTTAAAAAATATTGTTTACCATGAAGTCCTATAAAATTAAATGAAATTAAAGAAATTATTAAACTGCGAAGTAGTTTTTTTTTTTGTCAAAGTATTTTCCCAAACAAATTAGCTTATTCAAATTGCAGCGATTGGTTTGCAAAATTGAGCGGAACGTAGAGTTTGTAAATCTGAAACAAAAAATGTTAGCAATAACTTCAGCAATACTGTCAGGATTCCAAAAATGTCTCGCCTATAATAATGCTATTATAATTATGCATGTCCCTCCTGTTATGTTCTGCAAATACCTCATAAATAATGGACTCTTCCATTTAGGTCGCGTGAAAAGAAAGGAAAAGTCACTACTCGCTTTCAGTGAGAAAATGAAAGAAAGAAAAAAATGAAGGGAAGCTAGAAGTGTTTAACGTCTCCTGCCAATACATCATAAATAATGGACTATTCCGTTTAAATAAACAAAACATCATACACACTACTTGCGTTCAGTGAAAAAATGAATTAAATAAATAATGAGCGTTTGTCGTCTGCTTCAGCAGAATGGAAAAGATGCCAATTTCAAATATTTTTATTTGTACCTTCTTACTTCTTCAAATAGCGAACAGTATTCATATTTATTATTGTTATTGCAATATTTTATTAAAGTTGTTAAGCTCAAGTATTTAAAAATGCTATAGGGAAATTTCTAGGGATATTTTATTGTCGTAGAAACCGCCATGTGTTTACTCAATCATTAACTTAAGAATTAAGATTCATCAGAATATTAAAATAGGAAAACCTAATCTAGTTTCTATAATTTATCATAATATCTATAATTTATAATAAGTTCTAAAATTCATGATAATATCTATAATTAAAGATAATTTCTATAATTGCAGCGCGATAGTTTATGTTATGTAGGGTCGGTATTTACAAAGCTTTGTAGTTCTTAGTAAATTTAGTCTTTTTAACAACTCAAAAACATTGCTTTTTCATCCATTTTCAAAAACTCTTTAGATACGTTATGCGTTGGTTTCTCCCCTGTCTTTCTTGCCTTCAATACGTCCTGTGAGTGTCAATTTTTCCAAGCTCTCCTTCCTCATTATGCGCCCTAATAACTGTCTTAGTCGAGTTATAGCTTAAGCGTCCTTTTTGTTTCCATTTTCGCTAAAATTTCGTAACGACGAAATTTTCTCGTTTTTTTAATAGTTTGCTTAGCTTTTGGAAAACATCATTCTCTATCTCAATGCGACTTCGGATTTCAGTGTCGCACTTTTCATCCATTGTTAAAATAATTCCCAGATATAAAAAATAGGAAAATTAAAATGGTGATTGAAATAATCCAAGAATTATCTTTTGCGCAATATTAAGAATATTTTTAGGAATTGCTTTAAAGTAAATCTATTATTTTATTGCTTTGCTTAAGTGCTGGGTTGTTTCGAAACCTTAGAGGAAGTTCGAAACGAAGGATAATGGTAGTTACAGGAACAAACACAGCATTTAAACAGTTTTCTGCTTTTGTTGAATGCAGAGGAACAACTTTTTCGACAAGCGATGAAAAATGCATTTATTAGAAAATACAATTCGGCGATGTTGAGCAAATTTGTTTGGATGAATATAATTTGCAAATGGCTCTGAATGTGTACGTTGTGTGGCTGTTATCAGTGGGGAAACTGCGATTGGCGTGTCAAGTTCTAATTCTACCCGCGTCTGTAGCATTGGCTTTCACACAAGTATCCTTGGGGAAAATATGAATTCATCTCCTCCCGAACAAACTCTAAGTTAAATAGTAAGGCAGACTGGACTCACTAGCTTTGACTGGCAACGAGTCTATGAAAAGAGCAACTCTGACGTCAAAACCTGTTAGGTAGTCGGCTAGCAATTTCATCTCGTGAAAAACCAATCTGATATGGAAGCCGGAAGTGCAACGCCTTGTGTGGGGGATGAGGCCGGGGTTTGATTCTAATTGGCTGCTTCAATATTGCGACCTTGTGTGAGACTTAACGATATTCAATAATCGTCAACAACCAAGATACTATTTTCTACGTTTTTAATCCGTGTAATCTGGTGATTAAAATATTTTCCACCCCCGCATCGAAATTTGAGAATTTGCGGGACAAACAACAGAGAGAGTAGATTCAAATAAACTCTCCGTTGAAGGAAAAAAATTAAAAAGAGAAAGAAAAGGAAAAGTGAAAAAGGGAAGAAAAAAAAAGTTTTAAAAAAGAAAGAATTAAAAAGAGGAAAAATTATGAAAAATGTAAGAGGAGAAAGAAAAGAAAGCGAGAAAGGAAAGAAAAAGAGACAGAAAAGAAAAAAAATAGAAAGAAAAGAAAAAAGAGCCAGGTAAGAAAAAGAGAAAGGAAAGAAAAAGAGAAAGGAAAGAAAAAGAGAAAAGGGAAGAAAAAGAGAAAGAAAAGAAAAGGAGAAAGTGAGGAAAAAAGAGAAAGAAAAGAAAAAGAGGAAGGAAAGAAAAATAGAAAGAAAAGAAAAGGAGAAATGGAAGAAAAGAGAAAAAAAGAAAAGTAGAAATGGAAGAAAAAGAGAAAGAAAAGAAAAAAGAGAAAGAAAAGAAAAAAGAAAAGGGAAGAAAAAGAGAAAGAAAAGAAAAAAGGGAAGAAAAAGAGAAAGAAAAGAAAAAAGGGAAGAAAAAGAGAAAGAAAAGAAAAAAGGGAAGAAAAAGAGAAAGAAAAGGAGAAAGTGAGGAAAAAAGAGAAAGAAACGAAAAAGAGAGAAAAGAATACGAGAAAGGAAATAAAAAGAGTAAGAAAAGAAAATTAAAAAGGAAAGGAAAAGAGAAAGAAAAGAAAAAGGAGAAAAGAAAGAAAAACAGAAAGGAAATAAAAATGAATAAGAAAAGAAAAATTAAAAAAAGGAAAGGAAAATTAAAAGAAAGAGAAAGAAAAAACTTTTGAAAAGAAAAAATGAAAAAAAAGAAAACATATTAAAAGATAAATGATTAACCGCTTAATAATCATCTCGATTTAATAACTAATTCCCTTGGAGAATTATCTTAAATCGTTAGTTGAGCTTTATTCTAAGCCGTATGCTTTTGTTGGAAAAAAAAACATGACAAAAAGATAATCAATGCATAGCTAGTTGCCTAAAACTAGAATTTGCTATAAAATGTTAAAATATGTTCGTTGACTTTATATTTAATCTATTATCACAATCGCTACAAGAGTAAGCATTCCTGACTACAAACACTTACCTAAAAGAAATGCTCATTTTAAAGAAATTTACTGTCTTCCAAACCAATTATCGCGATTGTTTGAAAAACAACCCGAAGGAATAAATGCATTTCCCCCGCTCTCACCGCTTCACAGTCGAAACTCCTAAATGTAGCCGTCTCTTCTACTCCAATAGCTTCATGTCTCGCACCTCTCGCCTGTGGAACTCTCTTCCCTATTCCTGCTTACCTGTGAGCTATAATCTCCAGCTATTCAAGTGTAATGTCAATCGACATCTCCAGTTGCCTTGATCTATCCACTACCCTCATCCTTTCTTCTATCACTCCTATCTGATCTTGCTCTAAATTTTCTGTAACCCCTTGCGTCCTAGTGGCTTCCAACCTTGCTTGGGGTGAATTGCTTAATAAAAAAAAAAAAAAAAAATGCGTCATCAGCACAAGACAACCAAGTATATCACAGCCAGTAAGGATCGAAATCACAGTCATAATGAGTAAAGAATTTTACTGAAAAGCATGTAAACATTCGCATCGCTAAAGCTTAGGCTGCCTCGAATAAAATGGATGTAATCTGATAATCTAATCTACCAGACAACCTCAAGCGGAGATTCTTTCACGCCACTGTAGAGGCAGTTTTGATGTATGGCGCCACTGCTTGAACATTAACTAAAACCTTACAGTCTAAGATTGACGGAACCTACATTCGGATGCTGAGAGCTATACTTAACATCTCTTGGAGACTGTCCAGCTAGATCACAGATCTATGGACACCAAGTCATGGTACAAGACGGTTTGCTTGCCCACCTATCATCTAAATTGACCAGCTATGTTATGACAGTGAATGCCACCTTAATGACAATCCAACGTTGATGCGGGACCGTGATGGTTGGCGTATTAGACTCATCAATGTCCGAGCTAGCTCGACTAAATAAATAATAACGAGACGAGCTAATTAGCCTAGCTAACAAAATGACCTTTGTACAACGTTTCTACAAAGTTACATAGAAGTTGCAAATCGTTTTTGATAGACTATCCACAACTTATCTGTAACGTAACGTTGCAAATATATTGCCTTGCATGTACATTTAAGCTATCAGAAAATGGATAATAAATTCCAGGCAGATATGCATTCATTACTTAAATTTAAATCCTTTCATAAGCTTTTCAATTTTTTTGGCTTTATGAAGATTTAGACAATTTAATCGTTGAAATTTAGTCAACACTAAGGTGAAGAAAAAAAAAGAGCAAATTTCGTAATTAAATTAAAGAAAAAGAAAATAAATTTTATACCTTCTATACACATTGTTCAATGAAGTAAAAGTATTCTGTATCTGTCTATATTTCTGAGATGAGGTATTATGTACACTATTTACATTATTCGGACTATTGTCCTCATCTTTGTCGCCATATTTATCACAACGAACTTAAGGAATCAGCACATATGCTAGGCCACAAAAATCTCCTGAGTCGACCAAGCATAGAAATAAATACAATATGGGAACCAGTAATAAAGAGTGCCAGAGAAAAGCAATGATAACAACAAAGTTGCAATATGAGCTCTGGTAAAAACATGCAATGATAACAGCAAAATTGCAATATGAGCACTGATAAAAATGGTTGCTGAACATTAGGTTTATAATAGCCAGAAATCCATACCCAGATGTCCTCAAGGACACATGGCACAGTGGATAAAGGCTTTGGTTAGATCCAGTAGCAGTTCAATACCCGGTTAAGGCAGAGGAGAACTTTCAGAGGGTAAATTAACAGATAACTGATAACTGACATCCATTAAACATTGCACGTGGAACTAGAACAGTCTACCCCCCCGTGAGCGAAATAAAGGGTTCAGTTTGACATTCCAACCAACTAAAGAATGCCGGAATGTACAACGGCCGAAACGTTGTGATAAATATGGCGACAAAGATGAGGACAATAGTCCGAATAATGTAAATACTGTAAAAGTATTCTGTTGTTAAAATTGATTAGTGCTGACTTTTTGTCAGTGACATCAACTTTACCGTAACGTTTTGACAATATTGGGGATGAGCGGTCAGTTTGAGGTTTGGATAATAGTTGATTGAATCTTTACAGTGACGTCACCACAAGGTCACATATCCACTAATCAAAATACAGCGTATCTGCAACGTTGCAAGAACGTTGCCTGTTAGCTGTGTAACGGATACTGTACGGAGATGTGGCCCTAAGCGTAGCTTCATTTGGCACAGGTGATTATGACCGTGAGATCGAACGCACAAGACTAGAAGAATTAGTTTACCTGGAGGAGTTTACTAAATTGTGTGCTTTAGTCAACAACTCTAGTGTTAAGGAAGGACGCCTTTTTCGCTGTTCAACACAAGAAAACAAAAAGGCCTCCTTGAAGAGTTTCCATAGATGGTATGATTAAACCGTTCAACGTAAATGCGTACACAAATATCATTCATTGCTAAACAAACCCACTGAATCAATTTGCCAGTAGGCAACGTATTTTTTACGCGTACTTTTATAATGTTCGAAAAGTATTTATACTATTTATATCATTCGGACTTTATTGCCATTGAGAAGTAGTGGATTGCGGCGTGGATTGAGGTAATCGGAGAGCCGAGTTCGGATTCCAGTCGAATCCATTACATTCACTTACGTGCTAACACCCTTGAGAAAGGTGTGAATCCTCTTTCTTCTCCCTCCAGCTATGGGTAAATAGCAGGACAGACTGGGTTCTATAGCCTTGGATGGCAACTGGTCTAGGAGAAGGAAAACTCTGAATTCAAACCTGCTCTTAGATGAGGGTGAATGGAGTCTCTCTGAGCCTTGGTTGGCAATCCATTTAGTGTTGGTGTCACGATAAAAAACACCCTTGATAGCCCTAGCGAAGCATCAAGAATTCAGCTATTTGACAAGATTATGAACTACACCAATCAAAGTATTGGTGAGTTCAATCTCGGCTGAGGCCGCAAGATGTGTGTGATGTTATTGCCATATCTATGACCTTTTTGCCGTTGCACGTTCGAATTTCGGGCCGGCCCTTTATCTAGTCCAAGTCAGTAGACTGTTTCTAATTTCACGTTTCCATGCACTTTTTTTGGGATATCTCAGTCAGTTATGATACACGCTTTCAATACATGACTGACGAGGCAGATTTTTTTCCCGCTGTAGGTTGCCATTTCTTTCTGCAGTAGTCTGTCCTGCTATTTACCCATAGCTAGTGGCACAGGTGATTATGACCGTGAGAATCGAACAAGAGGATCCATACCCTTCCCAAGGGTATTAGCACGTAAGTGAATGTAATGGATTCGACTGGAATTCGAACTCGGCTCTCCGATTCCTCAATCTGAGCCGCTATCCATTACTCCGTGCCTCCTTTTCAGTTAATTCCCTTTAGTAACTCGACTCTCCAAATTTTTGTTCCTTCTTCTGTGGCCAGGTATTGAACTCACGACTCTTAAGTCACTTTTTGCATCACTCAAACAACACTTTTATCCACTGAGTCACGTGTCATTGAGTTACTTCCCCGATCACTACACTCTTAACCTGTTCAAGTCTAAGGTTAATCGTTATCTCGCCTACATATCCACATAATCTGTGCCTCTTATTCTGTAACCCTCTACCGCGAGTGGATCTCGGGCCTTGTACAGGGTGAACATAATTGTAAAGAAAATACATTAATAAAGACAGAAACAGCAGCAGCAGATGTATAAAAAAGAAACCTTGGTGAATTCAAACAGATGTGACAAGCAACACCAGTAATATCAGCAGCAGGCAGATTAATCTTAAGACACGTGGATTAGAGAGTTGGTTGGTGATATAATAGTTGTGATTTCAACCCTTGCGCAAGTTAGTGCAGACTCGGTACGAAACAAGGCCAGCAATAATTGAGCAGAACTAAATAAAGAGCAAGACGAGATATCTTTAGACTTGAACAATGGAATGAGAACACTTTGCCCCAATAGATTAAATCAAGTGTTCATTTCGAAATACCCTGAAGGTTATCCAGATCGACAAGCACCTGAAGGAGGCCAATGGGCACAACCGTTGCGATAATATCAACAATGATAGCCCGGGGGTAAATAACGAATCGCATTGCGGTGAAGTTTATACATGAGCTTTTATTATTGGATGAATGGAAGAGTCGCTAAGATATTTGTGTATATTCTCAAGGGGTCTATTTAGAAAGAGATGGTGGCTAAATTTAAATAATACATAATATATATGATCTTGGCTCGGCTATGCATCTAGATACATCGGACGCCAATAACTTAAAAATTTACATTTAAAGTTAAGCGTTCCTGTATCTTTCTTTTTTTTCTTTCTATGTGCCATGTCCATTTAAGACGTTAGCGATCACAGTTCTCCACATTTTCTTTTACTTAACATTTTTTTATTTTCGCCTTTTTCGCTATTCAACACAAGAAAACAAGAAGGCCTCGAAAAGTTTCCATGAATGGTATGATTAAACCGTTCAACGTAAATGTGCACACAAATATTCATTACTAAACAAGCTCACTGAATCAATTTCCCAGTAGGCAACGTATTTTTTACGCGTACTTTCATAATGTGTTCGAAAAGTATTTATACTATTTATATCATTCGAACTTTATTGTCCTATTTATGACCTTTTGGCCGTTGCACGGTGGAATTTCGGACCGAGCCATTTATCTAGTCCATGTCGGTAGACTGTTTCTAATTTCACGTTTCCATGCACTTTTTTTGGATATCTCAGTCAGTTATGATACACGCTTTCGATACATGACTGACGAGGCAGATTTTTTCCCGCAGTAGGTTGCCATTTCTTTCTGCGGTAGTCTGTCCTGCTTCCCGGTCTTTTCGATGCCATCTCTCCTAAACTTTGTTTCGTCATCCATTTACTCATGCTTTCTAGGTAGGTTATGCGTTGTTTTCCTCTCTTGCCGTTAAGCTGCCCTGTGAATATCAAATTTCCCAAGCCCTCTTTTCTCATTATGCTCTCTTCTGTCATATAACTGTAATTGGTGTTTCCATTTTCTCTAAAACCTCACAGGTTCGGTCCATGGTATTCTCAGTTTCCTTCTCTAGAGCCACGTTTCTGTTGCTTCAAGTCTCTTCTTCATCTTTGTGGAGATTGTTCGGCATTCGCTACCTTATAGTAAGACTTAAATTATATGACAGTCTAGTTCTCTTTCCTTGTTTCTGACGAAATCTTTCTGTTTCTTAATACATTGCTTAGCTTTTAGAAGGCATCTTTCGCTATCCCAATGTGTCTTCGGATTTCAGTATCGCACTTTTCCGTCTTCTGTTAAAACATTTCCCAGATATCTAAATTGTTGTACTTGTTTGATTTTGGTATCTCCGATTTGCAATTCGCACGTTGGCTCATTCTTTTGCTAACAAACGTGTATTCTCTCTTCTTATTACTGATGTTTTGTCCTTCTTTCTCACATTCCTTCACTAACATCTGTAGGTCGCAGGACGCCCGTAATGCGCCTTAGAAGGTCTGCCAAAAGTCCGTCGAAGCGAAGCGGCTGGTCGGCCTCCGTTCGCTGTCGCCGGACGCCCGTAATACGCCTTAGAAGGTCTGTTGTAAGTCCGTCGAAGCGAAGCGGCTGGGCGGCCTCCGTTCGCTGTCGCCGGACGCCCGTAATACGCCTTAGAAGGTCAGCCGAACGTCCGTCGAAGCGAAGCGGATGGGCGGCCTCCGTTCGCTGTCGCCGGACGCCCGTAATACGCCTTAGAAGGTCTGCCGAACGTCCGTCGAAGCGAAGCGGATGGGCGGCCTCCGTTCGCTGTCGCCGGACGCCCGTAATACGCCTTAGAAGGTCTGTTGTAAGTCCGTCGAAACGAAGCGGCTGGGCGGCCTCCGTTCGCTGTCGCCGGAGGCCCGTAATACGCCTTAGAAGGTCTGCCGAAAGTCCGTCGAAGCGAAGCGGCTGGGCGGCCTCCGTTCGCTGTCGCCGGACGCCCGTAATACGCCTTAGAAGGTCTGTTGTAAGTCCGTCGAAACGAAGCGGCTGGGCGGCCTCCGTTCGCTGTCGCCGGAGGCCCGTAATACGCCTTAGAAGGTCTGCCGAAAGTCCGTCGAAGCGAAGGTCTGGCTGGGCGGCCTCCGTTCGCTGTCGCCGGACGCCCGTAATACGCCTTAGAAGGTCTGTCGTAAGTCCGTCGAAGCGAAGCGGCTGGTCGGCCTCCGTTCCTTTCCTTGTCTGCTGTCAACACTGTGTCATTTGCCTATCTCACGTTGTTAAGATTGTGACCGCCTATAATGAATATTGGTAGAACATCTAATTCTCTCAGAATCGCCTTACTGTAATAGGTTTAATTAGCCTGCTGAGAATTCTTGTGTTACACCCCTTTCTATATTTGCATATAATATATATACCAGTATAGATTCTGGACTATTCTAATATCTTCCCAAATATGTCAAAGTTACCTAGCCGTTCCAAGAGTTCTTTGTGTCGTACTATATCAAACGCTTCTACATAATCTATCTTTAGCGTTTGTAAACATAAAATTGTAGCCAGCGTATATTGTATGTCTTCCCAAACCTGAGATATAAGACTGAATCCTAAAGATAGCATGATTCTGAATAAGTCCTTTCAAGGGACGAAACCCGTGATATAGGAGTTTTTTTTCCCCGTTTTTCATTTAATTACTATAAAATATAAAATAAAAACTTCTAACTTGTGGAACTCTTTTCAGCTCCATGCTTTCCAACCAACTTTAACCTGGAAAAATTTAAATGCAATGTCAGTCGCTATCTACTGTCCTGATTTCTTTTTTTCCTCTACCCGCTCATCATTAATGTTTCCGTTCTTAATTTTTCCACACCTTATAACCCCCTGTGTCTTAGTGGCTTTAAAACCTTGCTCGGGGGATGGGATGCCGATTTAAAAAAAAAATAAAATCATTTACTGGAGCAATAACATAGTGTTTTTGTTCGGGGACTTTCCAATATCACATCGGATTTGGTGAAATGTCCGCACGAAAATTACCTCAATTCATAATTCCGTCCTGCATTTGTTTTCTTTTCGCCATATCAGTTGATTATTGATGACTAAGGAGACACTGTTTTTTTATACTTAACAGAAATTGAACGATTCTCTCCGCTCTCCCTTTTAACAACAAATATTTCAATAGGGACTAAAGAAATCGAACTTGTTTTAATAAAAGCCCCTAAGCAGCAAGCAACAGACAAAGCGTGTCAGAAGAATATACATCTGCGAAAGGTTTTTATTCTTTGCTTCATCCAAAAAGAAAATACTTCATTATCGAGAGCCGACGTTCCATTCTTAGTAATTGCCTGACAAATCAATAAGGAATGATAAAACTGAATGATCGAAAGATTACAGGTCAGAGTCATTGTGAACATAAGATGAAGTCTGTGACAGTTCCATTAAGGGTAGGTGGGCGTTGTTTGCGACTCTAAACAGGACAGGAAAACCCAGAGAATCACAAATGGAAGGCTGCTAGTAGATACTGGGCTAAGTGCTTTGCATTGTGACGATGAGGATGATGGTGGAGTGGATGTGACATTGAAGAGAGTGGTTTGATAATACTGACCAATCACAGACCGCAAATCGCCGCGCATAAAACTGACACGCGTCTGTTTGGAATTGATCAGATTTACATCAAGGGAGTGCTTATTCGCAATTCCACATTTACCGGCGGACCTTTCTATTGTTATTCATGCCATATGCATTCTAAGAGGCAATAGCATTCGTTAATGCAAAAGAATTCATCATCCGCCATTACGATTATGATCAGAGTAAAGCAATTTTTTTCCGGGATTTTTTTGGATAAAATCTTTGATTTATAAAAATTCATCGCGTATTTATTAAGTCATCAGAATATTTTCTTTCTATGGTCTTATGCCATCTTTTGGTTAATTCTTGTATTTTATCAGATAAAGTTGATGCAAACCTAGCAGTTTTTTTCCTAGCATTTTTTCTAAACCTGTCATTGATATAAATTCATAGCATCATTATTAAGTGGTCCGTTTTTTTTCTCAGTTTATGATCTTTTGCTACCCCCCACCCCAAAGTTATGTATGCCATCTGCTAGATGATTTAGTTTGGTTTGGTTTGGTTTGGTTTGGTTTGTTTAAAGGTATATCAACACCTTGCGGGTCATTTGATGCCGAAATGTAATTTCTTTAGGAGCTTTATTAATTTTTATATTTTTTTTAACTATTAAAATGTATTACTTGAAATATTTACTATAACAATGTATTTTCATATTTTCATGTTTTGACACTAGATTGGGGGTTAACTATTTGCCTATAACTGAGACCCCTAACGGGTACTACCACCCCGGGTCAGGGTGGACCTGGGGACAACAGCAATTAAGAGGTGGTTCCACACCCCACAATTCTTCCTGATCAGAGGTCTTACTGCCGGATGTAGTTTATCGTCATACCTAAGGCGTCTGGTTGATGGAAAATGTTCACTGCATTTGTGACAAAATATTTTATTCACAAAGATCCATAGCATCATTATCCAATCGTTAAATTATTTTCTTCGCGAGACATAGGATACACCGATTCCGGGAAAAGAGGTAAAAATACTGCCTAAAAGAGGGAGGCTGACCGAGTGGATGCTTGCCGAATCCGGCAGTGACGACCAATGTTTACTCGTAGACATAAGTATAAATACAACCAAAGTATAATTATAGACTCAAGTATAAACATAGTTAATGTTTACTGATAGTGATATTAATAATTAAGTAATCTTACTTATTATAAAACGCAGATTGTGTGTGTCTGTACGTTTATATATTGGATCGGATTTCCTACATTTTTCAACCGATTTCAACAAAACTTCACAGGACTGCGTAAAATTACCTTGCGGTGGTTCTGACAGCGCCAAAAACTGGAAAAACACAATTGTTTTTGCACGAAATCAATTTGAAAACACGATTCTGTCGCCAGAATGAAAGGGGACAACTCATATCGAGTTATACTTATTATAAAACCCAGGTTGTTTGTTTGTGTGTGTGTTCGTTTATATATGGGATCGGATTTCCTACATTTTTCAACCGATTTCAACAAAACTTCACTTTTTTTTGGCAGGTAGTATTTCTTATTGTCTTGCACACTTTTTTCTTTATTTTTACATTCAGAATGCTTTAAAAATTCCATTTACAAGACAATTGTTTATAATAAAATTCTATTCAATCGATAGACACATAACGATTGAAAACAATGTTTTTGTTTGAGTTTGGGTTTGACCAATTTGTAAAAAAAAAAAAACAACAAAAAAAAAACTAATTAAGACATGCGTGTCTGTCAACCTTAAACAATAATCCTTGTCAATTTTATTTTTCAGTCTTTATGATGGTCGATACTTGATCTATCTCTTACTGTTACACCCCCGGGCAACGCCGGGCTCTACTGCTAGTATGTTATAATTTAGTAATATTTATAGATTAAGAAAAAAAAAACAGATATCACATTAAATAACTCAACTGGGACAGATATGTAGAAAAAAAAGTTCCCGGTCTTTCGATGCCGTCTCTCAATCGTCCTGGGTATGACGATAAACTACATGATCAAGAGGTTTTGAAGAGCATGAAACCACCTATTAAATACTGTTATTCCCAGGTTCAGCCTAACTCTGGGTGGCAGCACCTGTTAGGGTCTCAGCTATGAGAAACTAGTTAACCCCCAAACTGGTGTCAAAACACTAGAAAAATATGAAAATAGATTTTTATAGTATTAGGTTGGTGCAAAAATAATGACGTAATGATGTCGTTTTTTAACGTTAAAAAATACGTAAAAAAACGACATTATTACGTCATTATTTTTGCACCAACCTAATAAAAATACCAGCAATAGATTTTTGGAAGAAAAAAATATTACCGGCAATACATTTGACTCTCGACAAAAAACCTCTTTACAAAAATACGTAAATGAAACCTGATCTACAAACTGATTTCTTACAAAGAATACGTATTCTATTCATGCGAATCTACCCTAAAAATCTTGTCGGCATTAAATGACCCATTGAGATCGATATGCCGTAGAACAAAATAAACCAATTAATCAAAACCATTTTTCAATTATTTATTCGATCTGATTAGGTTAGCCGCCTTTTTTTGAGAATTTATATACTTTATCTAAATTCATGTCACTTCGTTTCTCGTTTCCTTTGTTAAAGTACGAGAATTAATTGCCAATTCCATTAATTTGGGCGGGGGTTTCAATACGGGGAAAATATTAGGGCCACTGTGTAGACAAATAAAAATTTGATGGACCGATTTATATACGAAGCTCATAGGCTGACTCTGAAGAGCGAGGCTAGAAATGTGAAATATCGCATGTTTTATTTTTAGCTCTTGTCATTAACAGCTGCACTGTTTATTTCCAGGTTAAATGTCGACGAACTATGCAAATAAGACTTCAAAAATAAACAGTTGCGACCTCCCTTGAAAATCGACAAAATTTGGCATCGTAGTGTAGAAAAAAGGGTTTAGCCACCAAGGACATTAATACTGACATGGTTGCTACATTAAGCGTCATTCCCGTCTTATAAAGAGTGCAAAAGTGGGCAGCTGAATTTAGGAGGGGAAGAGAGAGTCTTGAAGATTACCCAAGGCCTAGACGTCGTGCAAGTGCCACCACCGAGCAAATCATTGCTTATGTTCACCACTCGGTGATGGATGACAGGCGACTGGCTATAAATCCAGTAGCCAATGCTATCAGCATATCTCGTGAAAGAGTTGAGAATATTCAACACAATGAATTTGGCATGATGAAGGTTTCGGATTGGTAGGTGCCATGTCTTCTGACACTTGATCAAAAGCGCAACAAGTTGATCATATCACGGGGGAAAAAAATCTGAAATTGTTTGGATCAGATTCAGTTGGTTTCTTTGAATATTTCCTAACCCAGGGTGAGTATTGGATTCTTCACTTTGAGCCAGAGACAAAGAAACAGTCCATACTGTGGAAACAATCCTCCACGCCTCGAAAGGTGACCAAATTCATTTCATCTACAGGGAAGGTGATGGTCTCGATTTTGGGGATGCTAAAGGTATTGTGTTTATTGACAATGCTTAAAAAGGTCTCACGGTTAATGGAGAATACTATGCTAACCTGATGAGACAGTTCTGAAAGGCCTTTCAAAACCAAACGCCCAGGATAACTGATAATAGGGGTGCTGTTTCATCGGGTCAATGCGCCAGCACACAAGTCTACGAATTCAATGGCTACTGTGCCGGACTGGCTTTGAACTTGTTGATCAGCCTCCCTATTCTTCTAATTTGACTATTATATGTTCT